TTCTATCCAACGATTTTCAATTCCGAAAACCTCCTCCCTTCACCCCCCAACTCCCTTCCTTTTGACACTCCACGCTATTCGAATTAAAAAAAAAAAATAAAACGGAAGGAACAAAACAACAACAACGACAACGACAACAACAACGGCAATAATAATAATAATAATAATAATTTTCATTAAAACTCATCATAAGCGTAAAACGTCCAAACGGTCGCGGGAAAATTTTTTTTTCTTTTTTTTTTTTTGTAAAAAAGATTTAATAAAAATGTAATCACAACAGACGAGTTATGTTGGTTATATTGTACGTCCCGTGGGTGGCCAACTGCTGAGAGAAAAATAATAATAATAATAATAATAATAATAATAATAGTCTCATACGTGTACGTATACGTATCTCAAATGTGAAATGTTATTCAATTTTTTCATTTAAAAAAAAAAAAAAAAAAAAACTATAAAACTTAATTGCCAATTAGTATAAACGTAAAATTTTTCATTATTGCGTTGTTTTCCCCCGCCCCCTCTCACCAAACCTCCTCGCAAAAGGTTAAATTAATTTAACAAATTAATTAATTAATTAATTATTAATAATTTACGTAATTATAATAAATTATAATAATAATAATAATAATTTTAACGTCGTTTATTTATCCTTCTTTCTCTCTCTCTCTATTCGATTTTCTATAACGTGAAAATTTTTTTTTTTTTCTTAACGCACGAAATCACGCAGAAATTTTCATAAAAAAATAATGATAATAGAAAACGATAAATTTATTAATACGTGTACGTATGTATGTACGTATGGGTAATGGTGAGGTGGGGGTGGAGGGAGGAAATATTGCGTACACGCATAAATAAAAAAAGAAAAAAAGTAAAATCGTGCATTTTGTACGTACGTACGTACATATATAAAATTTTAATGTAAAATTTCACATAATCTTTTCGATTTTTTTCCCCACATATTTTTCAATTTATTATTATCATCATTATTATTTACTTTTTATTTTATGAAAAAAAAAAACTTTTGAATAAAAAAAAAACAGAATATATGTAAAAAAAAAAATGTTAAAATTTTTGGTTTTTTTTTCTGCTGGATTCTTTCGTTTTTTTTTCTTTTTTATTTTATTTATTTATGTTTTATATTAAAAAAAAAAAAGTTTTTCGTTCATTGCGTACAACGCACGATTACACATTTTATTAAAAAAAAAAAAGGGCGGATAATTATCCGTCGTGATTTCTTTCATAAAAACAAAAACAAAAAAAAACAATATGGCGAAACTTTTTTTTTTTTTTTTTTTAGTAAAAAGTGTAACTTTTAAAACATAAAAAAAAAAAAAACGTTGAAAACCGATGAATAAATTACACGGGAGAATGCATGTAAATAAATTTTCAAAAGAGAAAAAGGAAGAGAGAGAGAGAAAAAAAAGGAAGAAAAAAAAAGGAAAAAAGGGGCCGTTTGAGAGATTTTATCGAGGAAAAAAAAAAAGGTTCGAAATAATTTTTTTTTTTTTTAAATTTAATTTATTGTTATTTAGAAAAAAAAAAAGCAAAAAAAAAAACCAATTATTTAGAACCTAATTTATACTAGAGTTTTTATAACATCCCCCCCCCCTTTCGTTTTGGCCGGCCCCCCACCTCCCCCTTTGCCACGTGAATTTCCCACATAAACCTCCGCACACTCCCACATTCATTCGAAAATACAAAAATTTTTAAATTCTTAAAAATTTTTTTTCATCTTACAAATTTATTTTTTGTTTATTTTTCTTCTTTACCCCCTCCCCTCTTTTCTCTCCCTCCCACCGGAAAAAAGCTTTCCTTTTATAAATTTTTAGGGCTTGTTTTGATTTTTCCCCCACCACCACCCATGACAATTTTTTTTTTCAAATAATACGTATTATTTTTTTAAATTTAAAAAAAAAAATCGTTTCCGCTGGAGAAAATAAGAAGAAGAGAAAAATCTTTTACAAAATGTGCACGTGACAAGAGATACTGCTGGAGAAAAGAAAAAAAGAAAAAAAAAACGGAAAACGAATTTTTCCGTTTGATTTGACGGAAAATGAAACAAAATTTTTTTTTCCTTTTTTTTTGACAGTTTTCAGGTACGCGGAAAACAAAAGAAAAAAAAAATTTTTTAAAAAAACAAAACAAAAAAAAATGTAAAATGATCACGCTTTACGATATCCTTGTAATGGGTAAAAACAATTTTCTTAAAATAAAATTTTTTTTTTTATTTTTTTTTTCGGGTTTCTCGGAATAAAATAATTTAACAAGTTTAATAAAAGAAAAAGAAAAAAAAATTAAAATGACGTTTCCGGTTCGTTTCGTAATTTTATTTTCATTCGTTTCCGGTTTTCCAGATTCTTCAGATTCACTTCGATTTAAATTCGATTTAAGTTTTTCAATAAAAAAAATTAAAAATATTATAATTATTAAAAAAAAAAAGTAATTAAAATCTCGTCAAAAAATTATTAATAAAAATGAAACGAAAAAAATTTTCCCGCCAAAAAAAAAAACTTAAAACAACCCCTAAATCGGTTTTAATTTGACGAAAAAAAAAAAAAATGGGGAGAGAGGAAGGCGGGGAGAGAAAGAGAAATGAAAAGGAAAAAAAAAAAAGTTTGAATATTAAAAAAAAAGGAAAGGAAAGAAAATTTTATTATTATTTTTTTATTTTTCCCAAAGGAATTTTTTTTCCTTTTCCCTTTGAATACCCACCGACCGATTTAATAATCGAATGTTAATTATTATTATTATTATTGTCGTTAATAACAATCGTCGCGATAATTAATAAAATGAGGAGTGGGGGGAAATTAAAAAGTCAATAATAAACTTTTATAAAGAGTTAAAAAGGAATCACGTTATGGGAAATTTGTCGCCAAAATGTAACAAAAATTATCATTCGTTTTTTGTTTATAAATAATAATAATAATAATGATAATAATGATGATCCGAATTAATTTTTTTTTCGCAAAAATGAATTGTAAACGTCACTTTTTCGTTTTTCAAATTTAAAACGAACGTTTGTTTTTGTTGTTTTTCTTCTTTTATTTTTTTTTATTTAAAAGAAAACCGTTCGGTCGAACAAAAACAAAAAACAAGTTAAAGACACGTTTTTTAGACATGTCGTGTCTTTAAATAAATTGCATTTTATTATTTATTTTATGATTTTGACAGTTTTTTTGTTTTAATTTCGGCTATCAAATTTTTTTTCCCTTTTTTTTCGGTAAATAACTATCATCATTATCATTATCATCATCATCATCATTATCGTTAACCGTTACTTAATAGAAACTCATCGTTATATTATTATTATTATTATTATCGATTTTTTTTTGTTATTTTTTTTTTTAAAATTTATTCATGCGTGAGTATCATTTTATACGTATATATGTAAAAACTTTCAAACGTCGTTTTTTCTATCTTTTTCTTTTTTTTTTTCTACTTTTTTTTATTACTTTTTTATTTTAATGACGTCATCGGATTTAAATAAAATAAAATAAAAAATTTTTTTGGCATAATTTTTTTTTTTTTTCCAGTCAGAAACCTTTAAACAACGTCAGATGTCGGTTATATATATTTAAAATTTTCTTTTTTCGCTTTGTTTGATTTTGTATCCTTTCTCTTTCCTCCTCCCCCCCCCCCCAAACGAAAAATAAAATAAAATAAATATTAAAAAAAATATATATATACATATATATATTTTTTTTTCCTCTTGTGGAAACGATTTTTATTACGGTAATATTATTTTAAATTATTACTTTTTAATTTGAAAATCCCCTTTCCCTCCCTTTCCCTCCTCTTTTCTTCCCACCCCGAGAAAAAAAAAAAAATTTTTTTTAATTTTTAATTAATTTTTTATTTGAAAAAAAAAAAGGTTTATTTAACAAATTGATGATATACATATTTTTTTAAAAAATAAAAATCATTATTATTATCATTTACATTTAGTAAAATATATAATACACGTTTTCTTATTACGCCACTGTTCAAAATAATTTTTTTTTTTTTTTTTTTTTCTTTTTATATAAGCAAAGTCTTTTTAGGTTTGTATTACAAATTGCATAACCGCAATTTTTTTTCTTATTTTTAAATTGTTTAAAAACTTTTTTGCCTTATTTTTTTTAAACGAATTATTATTATTATGATCGCAATTGTTCTTAATAAAATTATTATGTGTATAAAAAAAAAAAAAATTATTCTTCCCCCTTACACGAAACTAATAATTTTTACTTGTTTTCACCGTCAAATTAAAAAAAAAAAAAAAAAAAACTTTGAAACTTCGTTTTTATAAATAAATCATCGACCTTGTTGTAATCACAATTTAATGACACGTCACAACAGTTGAAATTGCTAAAAAAAAAAGAGTTCTAATTCCACGAACGCTAATAATAATAATAATAATAATAATAATACGGCCAACGTAAAGCGTAAAGCAAAAAAAAAACAAGTTTTTATTAATTTATTTATTTATTTATTTTTCAATAGTTGTTGGCCTTTGACGTAAACAAATTTTTTTTTTTTTTTAAACGATTACAAGCATTTTTAAGTTATTATTTCGTGTATTTAGATTAAACGAAAATTTTTAAAGTTATTTTTACGTAATAAGAAAAAAGAAACAAAATAGAAACAAAAGGAAATAATTTATCAGTCAGTGCGTTATCAAGTAAGTTATTAACAATATTTATTTTGTCGCATTTGAAACGAAATTACGTCATTCAATTTAATACAAAACATTTTTTATATATAAAAATAAATAAATAAATAATAATGATGATGATGCTAATGACGATGAGTTTATTAAAAAAAAATTTTTTTTTTAAATTCTACTCACCGCCAACGACGACATTTATTTTTAACAAAAAGAAAAAGCAAAAGAAAAAATTAAACAAAATAAAAATGGCCTTGGCATTGAAAACCTCGTCCTTAACATTTTTTTTTTCTTTTTTTTTAAGGATTTTTATTTACGAATGAATTTTTTTTTTTAACCAAGAAGGAAAAAAAATATGAAATCGATTAAATTCACATTCAAATTAATCAAAAATAATCGTAATAATAATAATGATAATAATATTAGACGATTACACGAGATTTGTATTAAAAAAAAAAGAAATATTTCTTCGTCCGCGAACCGCCGCGAAAATGAAAAAAACGTTGAATATGAAGAAGCAAAACCTTACAGTGAAATTCCAGGACCGAAACCGTTACCTATACCTTACATTGGAAATTTATGGAGATTATTACCCTTCGGTAAGTTTTTTTTCATTATTCATAATAATAATAATAATAATAATAATGATTAAATTAAAGAAAAAAGTTTTTTTTGTTAAATATCGATCGTAATATTGACGGCGTTAATTCAAACGCATGGCGGCTTTTAATAATTAAAATTGATGTTATATTAAATTATCAAAATTCTCGTACCTTTCATCTTTCTCTCTCTCTCTCTTTCACTCTCTGTCATTCTTTACTTCTTTTTATCTTTTCCTCTCTGTCTTTGTGTACGATCGACAACTCTTTGATCGTATTTGGAGCCTCTATTATTCTCGCGAATCGAATAAATAATTAAATTATTCCATTATCGAAATGCCATCAAAAACAAATAATAATAATAATATTAATGATAATAATTAAAATTAGAAAAATCACGTGACGCACGTTTTTATTTTTTTATTTTTCTTACAGCCAGGTATGGGAAAGCGGGTTTTTTAGACATGCACGATTTACTTTACGAAGATTATGGACCCATAGTTAAATTCGACGGACTCGGAACTATAAGTCAAGTTTATTTATTCGATCCGGAAAGCGTGGAAAAAGTAAATTATCGTAAAAACTTGTTATTAATTATTCAAACAAACGAACAAACAAACAAACAAACAAACTTTGTCGTTTTTTTTTTACAGATGTATAGAAACGAATCGATATGGCCGATAAGAATGGGTTTACCATCAATTCAATACTATAGAGAAGTTGTAAGAAAAGATTTTTATCAGGGGATTGCAGGTTTGATAACGAGGTAATTTCCAAAAAAAAAAAATCAATAATCTGTTTGTTTTATTCAAAAACCGCCTGTTTGTTTGTTTGTTCGTTTGTTTAAGCAATGGCGAAGAATGGTACAAATTTAGAAAAGCGACAAATCAAGTCATGATGCAACCTAAAAATGTTAAATTATATTTAAATTCTGTCGTTGACGTCGTCGATGATTTCATAGAAAGGTTACGTATGATGATGATGATGATGATGATAATAATAATAATAATAATAATAATAATAATAATAATAATAATAATAATGATGATGATAATGATAATTATTATACTATATTTATTGATTTTTTTTTTTAAATTTAGAATTCGTTACATACGTTTACCAAATGACGAAATGCCGGATAATTTTTTAGACGAAATAAATAAAATGTCACTGGAAGGTTTGTATTGTTTGTTCGTTCGTTTGTTATTGTCCAGTTCATTCATTCTTTAATCACTCGACAAACAAACGAACTAATAAAATCTTTATTTTTTATTTTCTTACGCAGCGTTCACATTCATAACTTTAGACACGAGATTAGGTTGTCTTAAAAACAATTTAAATCCAAATTCCGAACCTGATAAAATGATTACGTCAGTACGAAACATAATCAATTTAATTTTTCAATTGGATTTTAAACCTTCTCTATGGCGTTTGTACCCGACAAAGGATTGGAAAAAATTTGTACAATCTATGAATTATTGTTTAGAGTGAGAATTTCTTTTCTTTTTATAATTTTATTAATTAATTATAAACTATTTCCGGTTATATATAAAAAAAAAGATTTTTAACGTAAAATGTTTACGTTAAATTTAAGCCGTGTTTTTAAAGTTTGTTCGGCTTTTCACACGTTAGATTTTTTTATTTTATTTTATTTTACTACCTCTTAAATTTAAAAAACAACATAAAGAGTAAAAAGCCTAAATAATAATAATAATAATAATAATAATAATAATAATAATAATAATAATAATAATAATAATAATGTTTTTTAGATTTTCATTAAAACACATAAACGCTAAATGGGAAAAGATAAAAAAAGGTGATGAAGAAACGAGTCGAAGCATTTTAGAAAGTCTTTTACATCAGACAAAAGATCCTAAAATTCCATTAATTATGGCTGCTGACACGCTTCTTGCCGGTATCGATACGGTGAGTTTAAATTTTCCATTCCCACACCCCATCCCCCATGCCTCCCACGTGCTTTTCATCCATGTTTTTTTTTTTTTTAAAGACGTCAAACACTTTGAGCACGATACTTTACTACCTTTCGCAAAATATGAAAAAACAAGAGAAATTATTCGATGAATTAAAAATTTTACTACCGGAAAAAAATAGTCCGTTCACCGAAGACGTTTTAAATAATTTAAAATACGCCAGAGCCGTGATTAAAGAGAGCGAAAGGTAATATCATCATCATCATCGTCATCATCATTATCATTATCATTATTATTATTATTTCTCATTCATTATTATAGATTGAATCCGACGTCGAGTGGTAATCAAAGAGTATCGACAAAAGACATGGTTTTAAATAATTATCAAATTCCAAAAGGGGTAATTTATTATTATTATTATTATCATTACTAATATTATTATTATTATTATTATTATTGTGATTTTTTTCTCTCTCGCCCCTCCATCATCGCTCGAATCCATCGACAGACGAGTTTATTCGTGTGCAATTCGGTCATGTGCAAAATGGATAAATATTTCAAAGATCCCCACGATTTCATACCGGAAAGATGGTTGAAATCAACCGGAAATCGTAAAGCAGACGACGTCGACGACGGCGGCGGTAACAACGAATATAAAAAAACACATCATCCTTTTGTTTATCTACCCTTCGGATTCGGACAAAGGAGTTGCATCGGTAAAAGATTTGCTTATTTGGAATTAGAAGTTGCTGTGGCGAAGGTAAAAAAAAAAAAAAAAACATTTTCCCCTTCCCCCGCTTTTTTTTTCAAAATGGCGCTGAAGTTCTATTTTTTTTTTCTTTCTCTTTCAGCTGGTGAGAAATTTTAAAATCGGTTACGATCACGAACCAATGACGTGGGTTACGAGACTCGTTAAAGTACCAACAAAACCGTTAAAATTTAAAATGACCGAAAGAACGGAATAAAAATTTAAACTTTCAATAACACAATAATTATTATCATTATCTTTTTTT